TGAAAAACTTACTGGAAAGAATTCTTAACGAACTTATTAATATGTTTATAGAAGACGAATTGCTTTATTTAATGCCTCATCAAGTAATAATTAATTATATGCAAAAAACTATATTTCAAGATGTAACAACTTTTATTGGTAATGCATCTTCGATTATTTTGATTGTGGTAATTGTAGATGTCCTATTCTACATAATTGAATTGATATCGCGAAATAAAAAGAATAAATTATCTCAACACTTGTCAGAAAAATTATTTTTTGAACTATTTATTAAGCCCCTTTTTATATTTAGCATATTATACTTTTACAGTTAGAAAAATATTCCATAATTACCATCTTTACTCTTATATTATTTATTATATTGAAAATAGAAACAAGTTACTTGAAATTAGTATGTATAATAATAAGTATAATTTATTGTATTATTTATTTGCTTAAAATAAATTATCGTTATTGCATATAAACTCCGTGATATCACTAAAAATATTAAAAAAACAAGATCGTCTACATCATACTGATGAGCACACGATAATTTTATATATGAATATCAATAGTTTATTTGCGTACAATATTGGACACCAAAAGTATATCTTTGTACAATATTGCTATATAGTGAAAAATAATAAAAATTTAAGAATCTATAATGTAAATTTTCAAATTAACCTGTTGTAAAACTCCACTATTTATAAAATCAAATAAATTACTAGTATTCATAGTAATTTCTAAGTTAGTACTACTAGTATCAATTTCTTGCAATGGTTCGCGTAGATTTTTTGAATCATCCAATTATGATATTTAAAGAAATCATAGCTAATAAATTTTAATTGTTATGACTGAATGTTGGTTTAAATGGTGAAACAGCTGCTTTAATTGAAGAACAGAATATTCATTGCCGTTTTTCTGTTTAATTGCTGCTAAAATTTGTAATAATTGAGAATCCATTGCTTATATATCAGATATTTTCTCTTGTTTTAGCTCGAAATTTTTCTACAGCACGTATCCAATTATTGGTAATGTCACATTCAACTTACCGACAATCATTTGGCTGACAGGTACATTTTACCGACACTTAGATTACCAACGATCATTTTACTGACAAGTACATTTTACTGACAATCAAATTAATGACTTATTATTTTTAATTCTATAGGAAATTCATGACAATTGCCAATAAGAAAATTCAAATTCACATACACTATTTGATAATCAGATGATAATTACAATATGAAATACTATTTATTATAAAATACAATGCAAAATATTAAAAAGTTTTATTTAATGTATTTGAAATATTACATTCTAATTAAAGTTAAAATTATTTTATATATTATTACATACACGATCAATAACAATTTTTTTTCTTATCTTTTTTCTTCAAAGTTTTATAATGAATAATATTATTTGCGAAGCTGTTTTTTCTACTCATAATAAAGTTAAACTTAATATTCATGGCTATCTTATGGTTAAAGATAAAAATAGAGGAAATTTATATTATTGGTAGAACTTATTAAAATGCTATGGAAGAGCTACTACTAAATTGATTGAAGATCAGCATTATCTTCAAAAACTTCAGATCATAACCATGCTGCTGATACCAGTTATGTTAATGTAATAAAAACTATTAATATATTAAAAGAAAGGTCACAACAAACTAATGAACAACCTGCACAAGTTATACAAACTATTGTTGTAATTTGTTCACATGAAATATATCCATACTTACCATCATGTGATGCACTTTGTCAAACAGTTAAACAAGTTTGACATGTTAATATTCCTGCAGAGCTAACAACTTTGGAAAATCTTACCATTTCTGAAAATATGTGAGTAACTTTAAATGGATTGGAATTTTTAGTTAGAGATTTAACCATAGGTGATGGAAGAGTATTAAAGTTTACAACTGTTGCTAATATAATACATTTAGCACAATCATCATTCTGGATTATGGATGATACTTTTAAGACAGTTCCAACAATTTTTAAACAACTATACACAATTCATGGACGTGTTGGTGGAGATGAAAATTTACTAATTATACCACTAGTATTTGTATTAATATTTCACAAATCTAAAGTATGCTATTGAACATTATTTTAGGATTTAATTGATTTTAGTAATGAACATAATGTTGATTTACAACCACAGTTTATTTTAACAGATTTTGAACAAGCTGCAATTAATGCTATCCGTGCAGAATTTTAAGGAGTGTAAAATAAAAGTTGTCATTTTCATTTATCTCAAATATATATCACAAAGTACAGACTTTTGGTCTCACTATTCAGTATAGAACTGGTAAAAACCTTAGTTTATTAATTCGTCATATTTTAGCACTTGCATTTTTACTTTATAATGAAATTCTTACAGCTTTTAATGAATTGAAACTAATATGCCAGCAGAAGCAAGCCAAATTTTAGATTAATTTGACAATTATTATGTTCATGAAAAAATTAAATGTACATTACGAAATGGAAATGTAATTCAGTTTGAACTATTATTTCCATCTTTACTTTGGTCTGTCACTGACAATTTTGAATACTCATTTCCAAGAACTCAAAATAATGTGAAGGCTTGATATAGAAGATGGGAAACATTAGTAGGTCGTGCTCATATAGGTGTATTTACAATTATAAAAGAACTACAAAATGAGCAAAAACAAGTGCAACTTCATGTAAAATCCATTTTACGAGGGACACCACAATTGTTATAAAGAAAATATGATCGTGAATGTAAAGATCATATACAAACAGTATATAATAATTGTGAAAATAGAGAACTTATGGATTACCTTAAAGGGATTGCTTACAATCTTTCATTTTAGATTTGTGATTTTGTTAAAAGAATGATATTTGTTTTTGCAAAATATAAAATTTTTGGTGAAATAACTATGTCGTTGAAATAATTATGTTAGTAAAATGATCGTTAATAATTCAAGTGTCAGTAAAATGTACCTGTCAGTTAAATTATTATCAGTTAAATGATTGTTAGTAAAACAATTGTTTGATAATATGAATATTGTATGGTAGTATTTACATTAGTTAACATCATTTCGTGATATTTAACCAATATAAATACAATACCATAAAGATATCAATTCAAAATTATGTCTATATGAATTGGTTTTTGGGAAAGAATTAAAATGATCTCATGAATCATTTTAGAATATGAAATAAAGTAATTAAAAACAATTCGATGGTAGGCAAATTTTCCGTTTCATAGGAGTTTAAATATTTTATATATTATCTAATACCCAGAATTTCCATTGAAAAGATTTGTATTTAAAATAGAATTTGGTATTTACTACGCCATAAAGTTTTTGTCACATGTAAATTTGAAATTAGAATTCACAAAATTCAATGAATTTGACCTTTGATAATAATCTCAGAAAAGCATTGAAATTAATCATGACATTTAAATTTATTGAAATATAATTTTTTGGATAAATTTATTTATTATAAGAATATAATGTTATACCTAACTTTTTGATACTCAAAATTATAATAATACTAGAAATTAAGCATTATAATAGGAATTGAATTAATGGTTCCTTGGCTTCTTGACATTTATTTCCTATGGCTTTCTTATGCATTATCTATATCTTTGTTTGTTCTGACATCCTGTTCATATAAATATGCAAGACTTTTATGTGTATCACGACTACCTTCATTAGCAGCTATTTTATAATATTCAAAACCTTTTTTTCTTTATCAACATCAATTATAATTCCATTATCACAATATTTTCTAAATCATTCCCTATTTTATCATAATTTCATATAGCAATTCCAAATTATGTCTTTTTTCTTAGTATCTTTATTATATAGTCTGAATCTCATTTCTTTATTAATTTCTGTTCCAATTCCATTTATATAACAATATATGAGATAATGTTTTGCTTTCTCAAATCCATTTTCAGCTGACTTTTGATAAAACTCAAAAGCTTTAAATTCATCTTTTTCAACACCGTTTCCAAATTCATAATATTTATCTAAATTATGCAATCTAACATTATCTCCATTATCTGCAGTTATTAACACCAATACAAACATTTATTCTTGAATTATTTCTTAATTTCAAAGTCGAAATTTCAGATTAATTAAACTATAATTTTCATAGTTCACAATTTTCAACTTTTGCATATGAACATGAGCAAAGCAGTTGAGAAGATTATAAAGCATTCAATGAAATAGGTATGTGGGTATGATAATTTTGATTGTAGCAAAGCTACAGCTGAATATTCTAATACCGCTTCTTAGATGCGTAAGTAAATAATATCTGATATATGATAATAAAATGTTTTTAATGACCTACAAAGCTCAAACGTATCTATCATTACTATTCTGCTCATCATAATTTTATTGAAGTAATTATTCTATTATATAGTGATGCTACCATTAATATTTCATTAAGTATTAAAATAAAATTTGCATTAAAATTATAATTTTAAATAATTTAAACTACTGAATTATATACTACTGTATTTTCTATATTTGCTACTATTAGTTATTACGCTATTTGTATTTTATCTAGAAAATAGAATTACAGCAATCATTATTATACAAATGATTTAAGATCATACCTCCGGTTATTTTTTCAATTAATTACACAAGATCGAACCAATTTGAATAAATTCAAATTCCTTTCCTTTTTTCATCAGGGTGAAGATTTTTAAATTAAATAGAATAGATCGGGAATAAATAATATCGCTTAGTTTTCTCAAATGAAAATCATTTGTAAATAAGAAAGATTCGATCAATTTACAAAATTTAGTATAAATATACATTATTTTAAAGTTAATAAATTAGTAATTGAAATTATTCTAACACATAAAATTTAATAATTTTTATAAAGAGTTATTAGTGGTTTACATTTGAGATTAATACTTTGTTTATACTTTGTAGAGTAGTAATTTAAAATTTGTATTATTAATTCAACAATAAATTTTTTTTTTACATCAGTTTGTTTTAAAATATATATACTGACTGTATATTTATCTTATATGAATTATCCAGATGATTTTAAAACAGATAATCTAAATTATAATGAACGAATTTATTTGAGTTAATTGTAAATATAAGTCACACAAGTTATTTTTTTATCACTTGGAATACTTCATAATCTTCTATATCAAATTCACCTTCATCTTTTCTAATTAGATTTTCATAACTATTCTTATAACATTGACCTTTTTTATACTTTTCAAGCAATTTAAAATCAGCTTTCAAATTTCCAAATTCAGGACCAAATTTAAGATCATTAAAAACCGCATGCTGTTCTTTAACAACTTTACTGAAGATGAAACGTCTTGTGTTTTGATCTAAAGAAAAAATAAAGCTGTCTTTAGTGCTGATTGCACCTCCATCTGAATTCCAATTTAAAGGATGAAATCCTCCAAGTATTTCGTCCGTACCCTTAACTCTGGCAATAGTAATTGTAGGTCCTTTCATATCAGAAAAATCATGAAAAGTTTCTTTTTCAAACCCATCTCTGCTTCCACGGATTAGTAGTTTAAAATCATATAAAGCACTATAGTCATCTTTTTTCGCCATTATAATTAAATTACCAAGTAAGAAAGCTTGATCAGAATTAATTATCCTAGAATCAATAATCTTAGAATCAAATTTAAATTTTGAATGTGCATTTTCATCAAAAGAATAATATTCAAGAATTTGAACATAAAAACCAAGATCAAAGGCATTCTTAAATGGTTTTACTTTCTGAACGAAATCCGCGGGACTAATTTCCTTAAACTTTATATATGGTATAAATGGTTGAATAATAGTTCCAAATATTGATACTTTATTATGCGTCCAATTTGAAGTATCTAACGGTAATTCATCAGATTGCGCTATACTCCATTCTAATAATTTATCCCAAACTACAATGGGCTTTTCAGAATGATTGTTTTTAACGAGTAAGTTAAGGAGAATTTCTTGTTTGATTGTTACGAAATCATCTGCTTTAAAGATTAATGATGGATCTTGTTGAATAGCAATCTTATAGAATTGGACCAATTTGCTAAATTGAGTAAATTTAGTTGTAACATCTTGAATGAGAACAAAATTCTGTTTTAATAATGATTCGTCATCAAGAAGATAATCTTCAATGAAAGTACATAGGTAGTTAAGACACAATTCATCAGCCGCAATTAAAATCGCAATATTTGTTTTAATATCGTTGTTGGAGAGGTCAATCTTGCTACTGTAAATGTACCTATAAAATACTTAGGTGAATTTCTATAATGTGATTAAAATATTAAACTCGAAAAAGTAAGCTACCTTAAAATAATTTCAAAAATTTCAACAGAAATATTCGGTTTTTGAAATTTAATAACATTGTTTTCTTTTATTTGCCAACCGTTTGATAAAGCGGTACGGAAATAAGCCGAACGTATTTTTAAAATTAAGGAATGTGCTTTGAAGACTTTAGTACTAGGTTCTTCTCCAACTAAAAGTTCGATATCAGAAAATTCACCGGATTCAAGTATTGTATTATATTCTTTAGAAGATAAATTCAATAATTCCATAGACATTTTTTTAAGAGAATTGGAAAATCTCTAAAATTTTTTTTTGTTTGGCGGATTTATTTTAATGCTACAGTATGTGCAACAATACTAATTTTTTTATAGTAAATTTTCGGTGAAAAGAAAAGTAATTCCGGGTCACACCAATTAAAAATCATGTGATTCAGGTACTTTATTAGATTCCATCTTGGCCGGCATTACGACATTAAGTTTCACTGACATTGTTACGAATTTATTTATCTAATAATCAAATTGGCTTGATATCGACTATTTTCAGTTCTTATAAAGTAATCAGAAGATTTATAATATTAATTCAATTTATTAAAAACAGCGACGTATTTTTTATTGTTTGTTATTGTTACGGAAAAATCTAAACTATTTTCATTCTTTATTAAATTTACCCTTTTTTTTCAAGCGAAATCCCAGAATTTTCATATCTAAATTCAACAAGGAATTATTCTCTAATTGAAACTTTGGCCAGAGTACACATAGGTCAAAAGACATAATGAAATGACAAGTGGAATCATGGGCAGTGTTTCCAATCAAATAAAATCGATAGTCACTAAGCTTGTAATATTAAAGTCTCCAAAAATAGGTCCAGATGCAAACGCCATTGTTGTGAAAATTTCAGACGTTTCGCATCAACAATTCAAATGCTTCAACATTTACTTTAGTAGTGAGAGAGGATATTTTAAATTAAAGATTTTGATTAAAAACTTTTGTGATTTCAACTAAAATAAATCACCGGATTTTAAGCATATCACGAGGAGTTCTTTAAAAGTCGAGAAAGAAATGCCTTTGAGATTTATTATTAATAAAAGGTCATATAGGAGATTTTTAGGAACATCAAAAACTAAAATGCAATAAACATCTCAATTTTGTTAAAAAATTCACAGAACCTTATTTTCCTAGCAATCATCTCATATATCGATCAATAGATTCGTTTTAAGGCGTACTTTTGAATCATAAAAATATTCTCTTGTGAATTCGACAGAACTTTTAAAGTTAAATAAATTTGCAATATAAAGGTTTTACAAACAATATTTTCAGTAACACTTTACATACATTGACTTTTTAGCAGATATTATAACTTTTGTTTATTACTAAAATCTTTATTTTAAATTTATCAAAACGGAAGAATTCGCGAAATCCGTAATGTAGATAATCTTTATTTGACTATACAACAGTTGTACGAGGCATCTTTCGATGACAAATTTGGAGAACAGTGAAAGCAGATAATTGAAGGCAAAAAAAAGAAATAATGATTTTAAATATTTTGGATTATAGTATTCAAAACTTGACCAAAATTGACCAAAATCACATTAAGCTTAGAAAATATTTTAGTATGTTATTACTTAGACCTACGTCCCCGTATACTTCGTATTTAATGATTTATACGTGAAGTAGTATGAGGCGTAGTATTTTGGTATATTAATTTATTTACTGCAAGTTTGAAAAATCAATTAATTTGGTCGAAACACTCGAAGTCGTAATATTTACGAATTTGCATTACGATTTAAACTAAATATTACAAAGTATCAAAATGTGATGTTTTAAAATATACAAAACTGTAAGATACTTTACACCAAAAATTTTTCCTGATGTAAGTCAACAGTACACAACATACATTTTAAAGTTCGGTTACGCCATCAGTGTTGCCTGTGATGTCAGACCAATAGCACTGGTTGAAAACTAAACACAAATTTTGGTACAACAGGTTTGTGACTATAAAAAATTACGACAAATATTATTTAGTGAGTATCACTCCCTTTCCTTTTAACGATAACGTTCAAAATGGATGTATCCTTAGATGAACAATTTGACATTAATAATGTGGATTGGACTTTGAGTAAATGCAAAAAATTTTTAAGGTTAGTCCAAGAAAAACCGACTGAAACTCGTATCAAAAAAGAGCCAGGCGACGGAAGCCATTTATTTCTGCCGATGTATCTTGGCAAGGGCCGCGAATTTTATAAATGGGATTCAAAGAACCTTCACGACATATTTGTAGCAATTTTTCGATTTTTGCAAAAATATTATCACGATTTAAGCTGGTTGAATCTTAAAGCCCTTCACAGTGAACAAATTAGCAAATGGAACGTTGAATTTCAAATTATCTAGAAGACAAACATGCTAGCAAAGAGGCAAAATTACAAGATAAATTCATCAAGGAAATTAATGATAAATGGCTTCCAGGATTCGGGTATCTTTACGATTTTGAATATAGAATTGGGTACCACAAAGGAGATTTGATTTTTACAGATGATAATGGATTTCTTGTAGCTGTAGAAACGAAAAGAGGGGGATATAATCCGGTGCTTATCATACAGAATATCAATAAAGCCAAGGAGCAAGCAATTAAATATCGAAATCTCCTCATGGAAAGAACCAAAAATGATTCTAATATCATTACAATTCTCGGTGTCTATTTTATCGATGTGGGTAAGAAAATGAAATTGTTTCCCTTGGACATTGACAATAAAATATGGGAGGCGATCAAAAAGGTTCACGAATTCAACAAAAAGTCTCTGACTTCTGATAAAATTTCTATTGCTCAAACAAGTAACTATTTCGATTCATATTATCTAACGAAATTGTTTGAAATAATTTTTTTATAAATTCATAATTTTGCATTTCAGTTGGAAGAGAAACGTTCATTAGATCATCCCAAGAGGCTGATTCTGATGAAGATATTACGGATGGACTTGAAAACACTCATTTATAATGAGAAAGCTTTATTTACTTTTATTTATTTCTGATCTAATTCAAAATCGAGTTAAATACATGATGGATGGTGTCCGTTGTACGTTGTACTTTTGGTAAAGATATTTTATATTAAGCGATTTCATACTATATAATTAATTGTCTATAATAAATTCTTGTTAAAATCGAATCTTAATAGTCTCGAGAATGTTAAAATTGCTTTTTTTAAAAAAAGTTCAAAATAATAAATAGTAAATTATAAAACTAATAATTTAAACCTTTCAAACTGGAATTAAGTTTTCTTTAGGGTTAAAAAAAAGATGTATTATTATCAAATGAGAATTTGGATAATTATGCTTTGCAATTAGTTTTCGTTTTAATTTTTCTTATAAAGACTTGTATTAATTCGCCTACAACATTAGAGTTGAAATTTGAAAAGATCTAGAAATGACATTAATTGTGGAAACAGCAATACTTTCTAGGTTACAATAAATAATAGAGAATTTGATAATATAAATTTCACCATTTTGATAAATTTATTAAAAAAATGTCTATGTTATTATTCACATACAACAAATAGAAGGATTTTGCAACAAATTATATATAAAACTTATGTATACATTCATAATTTTTTAAAGAAACTTCGTTTGCTTAAAGCAAGTTTGAAAAAGAGAATTGACGATGAGTCTTGACAACATAGGAGCTCAAAAAAATATTCAATTGCAAAATATTCAGACGCCACAATTTAGAGCAATCGTTGTGTCAAAATTTTTTTGAATAAGTAAAAAATTGCTACAACTATATTCATTAATCTATTAAAAAAAAAGAATTTAACATAAAAAATTAACGTGCTGTAATATAATGTTAGCTGAAAGCTTATACTATGTTATGTTCATTTTTTGCGTTGATTGAATCAACAAATTAATTTTTTTTGATTCAGTTGTTTAATGAAGTTAGATACTGTATACTTTCACTTATAATGACGAAAACATAATTTATTTACGCGCTAAACTTAAAACTGGTTAGATCGAATGGATGCATAGGTAAGTTATTTTTTTTCATTGAATTATTTATTTTCTTATTTTTTTTTCATAGGCATTTATTCTTTATTTATTTTTATTTTGATATCATCATTTATTCAATTATAAGTGGTTACGCATCAGTCATACCTAGTTTTACTATAAAAGGCTATCTCTGAATTGCAATAAATTCTTCAATATAAATTATATCTTATACCATACATAGTTTTGATTTAATTAAAAATCACTCTCCTGCTGTTCATGTTTTATTAATACCGAAAATAATATGCCGAAACCAATATATAATAAATAAATTATTTATATTACAAAACATATAAATGTTATTTGATAAAGTTTTATTTATTATAATGTTCAAGATTCGAAAACAGCATTTTTTTGGGAAATTTGAAAGGTAAGTAGTTAATTTTAATATTGTAACGTTATATATATATTCTGTAATATCCAAAGAAGGTATTTTCTGCGGCTTTATCTAAAATGTTAAAGGTGCGGAAATTATCCGTGGCGTAATACAAAATCTAGAGATATTGTCGTGTATGTTCAAGCGAGTCGACTAGTTGGATTTCTAAAATAATTTTCCTAGTTAATATTGACAGACTAATTGTTTAAAAACTCATTTTTTTTTTTTGCTTCTCAATATCTCATTTATCTGCCTTTTCCTTAAAATTATTTTTATGAGATGATAATGTTGGAATTTTCAGAACTAGAATACCAGAAATATAAAAGCTGGAATTTCAATAGTTAGATTTCATTATTTTTGTGATTAAAAGAAAAAGAAAAATTTTTTTTCCGAGTCGCTTACCCTTCAGATGATAAAGCTAATTTAAATCTAATTTTTTATAAATTTACTTGATTTTTTTTTTTTTTTTTAAAAAAAATCATACTTTTATTAACGTTAATAATTACGTATCTCTTTGGCCTGGATCATGTTGAAAGATTCGTCATATTTTTTTTTCTAGTTTAATTTATAATTTTTTAATTTTTCTTTTTTACTTTTGGGTTCGATTGCATCTAAGAATTTATTTTTTTATTTATTTATTTTTTTTTAGGGATTTTCTTTCGAGATGGATCACCTCGTAAGGAATAAGTAAGGTTACTTTATTTTTTATTTTGATTTTTCCGCTTTTTTTTGTTCCTTCATATTTACAAATGGTGATACGCAAAATTTTCAATTTATCACTTCAAGTTTTAAAACTTCATTAAAAATTGGAAAAGAACATCAACATCGTTTATTACTAGAATGAACTGCATCTCCTAACAATGTTATCGAACTGATTTACTACTTTGATTGATTAGGTTTCAAATGGACACGTGTTTGTATAAAATTGAACCTAACCTAAATAATATAAAATCCTTTTCTCAATCACGTCCCAAGTTAAAGATTTAATACAATATCAATATCTCAAAATCCAGGAATCGTTCAATTTAAACTTATCTGTTTCGTATCATGACAAATATCATTTGTTTATCAGATGCGATATTTCATATTTATTATTTCAACCGAAACAAAAAAAAAAAATTTAGTCGTGAAGTATTAACTAGATCATGTGATCTTCATGCAAATAATGATGTACAGTACAGTGTCGATCATCTATTTGTAAATAAATACGGAGTAATTAATCCCGTAATCCCGATAAACTTTCTTATTATTTTCCATTTCATTGCATTATGGTCTCCATGCGTTTGGAATTAGTTAATGATACATTGAAAAGAGCAGATGCATTAACTGATTATTACACTGACCTAGAAGAACAGTTTGAATTTAAACAACAAACAATTTACGCTGATGAAAATCTCACAAACGAGGAAAAATCAGAGGCAATACAACGCTTAATTAATGGTTATAACTATTGCAAAATTTCTTATAATCAAGGTATTAAAAGAGTTTGTGAAAATTGCAAACAAGAATGTTTAGCAATATCATATTGTGAACATTGTATTCGAAGTTATTTAAAAGCAAAATTTTCAGAATGGACATCCGGAAATAAAGAAATTGATAATTTAATAAAGAAATGTCAAATCGAAGCAATTCAACCTCATAGAATAGTTGAGTGGATACCATATAATAATTTACAAAATATTGAGTATCTAACTAAAGGTGGATGCTCTGAAATTTATACAGCAGATTGGATTAATGGAAGTTATTACGAATGGGATTCTATCGGAAAACAATTAATAAGATTTGGAGGTGAAAAACTGATACTCAAAAGATTAGTAAATGTCGAAAGTGCTAATAGAAATTGGTTTGAAGAGGTGTGTAATTAAAAGTATTGATAATGACTTTTTTATAAATAAAAAAAAAAGAAAAAAAGAAAGAAACTAATCAATTGAACTTTCATTTATAGGCTGAATCTCAATTAATTTTAAGCAGCAGATCGGGATGCTTTGCTAATTCTTGTGGTCTTACTCAAGATCCACAAAATAAAGATTATTTTCTAGTAATGTATTTAATGGATATAGATTTAAGAAAATATTTACAACAATATCATAAGCAGCTTACATGGAAACAGAGAACAAACATACTTATTAACATAATCTATGCGATTTATTATCTTCAACAAGAAAATTCTATTCATAGAGATTTGCATTCAGGAAATATACTATATTATAAACATAATGATAGATGGCATATTAGTGATTTTGGATTTTGCGGTCCTGCTGATAAACCATTAGGAAGCGTATATGGAAATCTTCCTTATATAGCACCTGAAGTTATTAATGGAAATGGATATACATTTGCATCAGATATTTATAGTATTGGTATGCTTATGTGGGAGATTTCTTCTGGAAAACCGCCTTTTGCTTATTTTAATCATGATTATGAACTTGTGACAAAAATAATGAATGGGATGAGGCCGAAGGTAATACCAGGAACTCCATCAGAATATAAAAATTTAATGATGCAATGTTGGGATGCAGATCCATTAAAAAGACCCGACATTGATACCCTTTTTGACAAAATTCGTGAAATACGTAAACCATATTATCAAAGTGAAAATGAAGAATGCAGCATTATTATTTTGAATAGTACACAATCAAATGTACAAACTAATATAAGCTCCAACTCTATTAATTCATTAGTCGGAAAATTTAGTAAACTTTATAATTTTAAGGATTTACCTGAACCGAAAAATGCTATTGAAGGTAAGCTATTCATAATTAAATTAATTATTTTTAATTTATAGAAGAACAAGAAGGTTATTATTTAATAATTTTTAAAAATATTTTTCTTTTATAAAAAAAAAAAATAGCTTTTGATAGCAAGCAAAATGATCTTAATATTCCAGATAGTAAGTAATTCTAGTTTATTTGTAATAAATAAGAAATTTATTAATTCATTTGATTATATTAAGAAATAATCAAAGATTATATCGAACAGAATGTTTCTACAACTATTATTGGTAAGAATATTTTATTTTGGAATTCAGCCTATATCGATATGATTTAATATATGTAATTAATATTAACAGGTATGAATATTGACAAACCTAAGAGGAATTCTTCACATCATACTTATGGTAATGAGTCATTTTGTTATTATTATACTTTGAATATACTTGTAATATAATATTTTTATTTAATTAGAAAATCAAGAAGATTTAAATATTACTTCAAAAAAAATAAAACTAAGTAATGACAAAGGTGATTATTTGTATACTTTTGTTTAATTCTTAATATCCCATAACTATAAACATTTTATTTTAGGAATTAATTATGCAAATGATGAAAATTATTATATGCGAAGTTATATGGCGAGTGATGGTAAGAAATTGATAAATATAATTATTTTATTATCAAACTTAAAAATTTAATTATTTTTCTCAATTAGATGATGAAGAAATATATAATAATTCGAACCTTCATTCAGCAAATCAAGATGATTTAGAGATTTCTGAAGGTAAAATTAAAATTAAATAATATTATTAATTAATTTTAAATTATAATTATAAATATAAGTTTAAAGCAGAGTAATTTATTAAATAAT